ACACACCTGAGGACGCGCTGAAAGGTGCAGCAGCGGCTCACCCTTTCTCTCCTTTGTTGATGAACTTCTGAACTTCTTTGACTCCTCGTCGGATGTTCTTCACTTTGGCAGCTGGACGATAGAAACAGAGACACATTAAACCAGACTCCAGTCAAAAACTCGCAGTTTTAAGCTCAAGTGCAACATGAAGGATCTGCGTCTCCTTCAAGCCCAGTCCAGCTGCAAACTGCATTTAAAGTGAGGAGGAGCACATCTGGATGTTTAAAGCTCAAACATCTGCAGCGTGAACACATCGTTCACATGATTCCCAACAACAAAAGTTCCCTCACAAACTGTGAAGGAGATTTTCTCACATACTAAAAACACTTCTGCTAAGCATCAAAATAAAAGCACATGCAGCGGCCTTTCAAAACGACCAGTGAAACCGGCAGCGCTTCTGACTGAACCTTTCACTGAGGATGACGCTGTACAAACAGCCGCTGATTTCCCACAGAAAATTACCAATAGATTACAAACTGTGCATCTATAAACGACGTGTTTACGGCCGAATTAACCAGAAGCTTTAAACGACTCGAACACTTTCTTATTTAAAGTCCTGCACCGACTCCAACAACTGCAGAGCAGAAAGAAATCGTTAAATTCGTGAATTTTTAAACAGAGTTCGGCGCCGCCTCCACGAGAACAGCAATCTCCAGCATTTCCCGGCCGTTAGCGGGATTCTTCTTCGTCTCACCTTTTTTCACGCATTTGTAGAGCTTCTTGCTGAGTTTTTTGGAGGCCAGCGGCTGAGCGATCGGGTTCAGGTGAGCGATCAGCTCCTGGTACGACCTCTCGGTGCCCCCGGTACCGGCTTCTTCACCCTCCTCCGAAACTTTCTCCTTCTTCACCTTCGTCATTTCTGATCGATAATCACCGGTAATCGATACCCGTTTAAATGTTTTCTGCTCGGACTACTGCCTGCTGATCACAACACGCACACAGAAAAGACCCCACACGTGTTTCAAGACTCTTTCTCTGCCGTTTGTGAAAACGCTGAACCACAGCGCCACCAGCGGCCCGGAGGGCAGCGGCAGCACCACCCTTCAAAATAAAATACCAAACTTCCTTTTTTAGGTTTAGTCAGAATTTTAGTGACACTTCAGAAATTTTCCGCGTAAATATATATCTATATCTATAAAGAGATAAATAATAACATTTAAAAAGTGAAAGTTTAAGTGAAGAGTTTTGGATTAGGTAAGAAGGAAATAATTTCCCCCTAAAATCTAAAAACCAGCTTCACTGTGTGGACACTCGAGAGTTTTCTTTCATTACAAGAAGCTAACAAACAAAACTTAATTACTGCTCATCAGAATGATCTGAAGAGAGTTTGTTATTAATATTTTCTTATAAACTTAATGATCAGGTTTTATTGCAAAGTGACACGACAGTAAAATGAAAAACTGCTAAATGAAAAGTAATGAACAGTATAACACCTTTGATTCCACATACACAGACACATTACTCAGAGTATTTATTTAATTACTGTTGAGCTAGGTAATAGGTATGCCCTCATTGTCATCTGTTGTGATTTTATTTTGAAAGGATGCTTCCTGTTATGCTGCGGAGTATACCCGAGAGTTCACTAAAACAAAGTCACCTTTTTTGTGTGAATGTTCCGGTAAAAGCCGATGCCCCACATGTGATTATTCCTCCGTCTAGATAATAAGCATCTTCAATATTCATGCAGATTCTGCTGGAACACCCGTCTCTGCTAACCATTACATTTGATCGGGAAGAAATTAAAAAAAAGTTTAAATACAATTTCCATTTTAAAGGTTTTTATTTTGTCAGTATTGAATTTGGCTAGAAGCCAAACTTGAATTGTGTAAAAACATTTAAATGATTTCATGTAAATCCTGAAATCACCTTCCAAAGCTCACACGGACTGAATATTTGTGCATTGATATCAGATCTGAGCTTCTCTCCACAGTCTCGATTCATCTTTAAGCTCAGTCACAAGCATGAATTTAATTTTAATGAATTTAAGCGAACAAACATATAAATCGAGTAAACAGATGAACAACAGAACAAAAACTGATTTGTTAAAAACAAATAACTGATAAATACAGCAAAACACTGATGATTATTGATTTCTCCTGGTGCGGAGCTGGGCCACGACGCCGATGACATCATCACTGGTGGATGATGTCACTGCACGGTGGGGAGCTTCTGCTTCTTCATCTCGGTGGCCATTTGACACCAAACGCAGGGCAGACAGAAGGTGGAGCACAAACAGTCGGAGCAGAGGTTCCCCTGAAACAGGCAGAGTGAGCCACACTGACTAATGTTAGCTTAGCGGCTGCTAACTACAACCAAACGAGCGGCTCAGCGCCGCCTCACGGTCGTACTTTGATGCCGTAGCGCTGACGCAGCGACACCCTGATGGACATCGTGATGGGACGGACGCAGCCGAACACGTCCAGCAGGGGGAGACAGAGACACTGACCGAGCTGTTTGGTGGTTCGACAGGCGAAGCAGGGGCAGCACCAGAAGGCGAAGCAGCCTGAGAACAACAGACGACAAACAAACTGAACAACAACATGAAACAAAGTAACACAAAAACCTGAAAAAATAAGAGCAACAAACTGCAAACTATAAATAAAAATAAAAACAGCATCTTTATATTTGATTAAAAAAAGTTCAATCATAAAATGTGATTTTTCTTTCTTTTGTTTAACAAATAAACGTATTGTTTACACTGTAGATGCTACTGAGGTTCAGACGATGTTTGTGTTTTTTTTAAAGATGCGAGTAAAACCAAGCCAACCTCAGCTGATGTTGTTCCCCTTTGGATGGATTCACGTCACACACACTGATGATAATTTGACGCTTTTTGAATGGAGTTTGGTGCAGAGCCTCAGCAGCTGCTCTGAATATGAACTCAAAGAACCAAAGAAGCTTTGTGTCTGATTTTGAACATTTTTAGGTTCAAACAGATTCAGTGTGAATGAACGAACATGTGACCTCAGTGCTGTTTATATTCTGATCTATTTAAAATAATAAATTTATTTAAAATCAAAGTTTCCACAGATGACAGCTGATGTTTGTCTCTGTGGAAACTGATCAATTAAAGAGTGTTTGTTTGTTCAATTAGATTCTTATAATAATTCTTATGAGCTGTTAAAGCGTCGGCTGCATGCTCGTGTCCAGCTGTTAGTCTGGTCCCGAGTGTCAGTGTGGGATCAGTAAAGTCCGCTCTGAAGTGTGTGTGTTACTCTACATTGCTTCATGTCGTCGCAGCAGTCGCAGATCCCTGAAGCCCACTCAGCTTCCACCGAGGAAAAGAGCTGCTGAGGCTGCGTCGTCACCGGCCGGCTCATCGTTCACCTGACGACACAAACACTTGGACTCAGTCACACCTGTGGCACACAGTTGTTAGTGATCAGCTGTTTGCAGCAGAGAGCTCAGTGAAGTCATTTATTAACAGATTCCATAATCATCACAAGTGTGCGTTAGTACAAGTTATTCACACGGGTCACCGCCTCCCTGAGTTAGCAGGGTAAAGGTCAAAGTTCATGACAGGACATGAGAAAAAGATTGAACCCTCTCCTAGAGTTGGGGTGAGGAGCTCCAACCTGAACCGCTGCGCCACATCGAGGAGGTTTGGGCTCCTGCTGGGCGTTTGAAGCATGTCGCACTGACGGAGGCCACAGGACAGAGCGGACAGATCACAGCTCCTGACTGTGAGTGAGGGAACCTGGGCTTACAGCTGCTCCCACGACCCAGGTGGCAGGAAATGAATGGATGGAAAAGTACAGCCTGGTTGGAGGAGCTGCCAGGCAGCTCGACTTAGGTTTGCAAAGCTGCACCTGAACTAACCACAAGAACCAAAGATCAGAGCTCAGAGAGCTGTGCATGGATGCTGTAAAGAAGAGTGGACCAAAACTCGCCCACAGAGATGTGACACACCGATAAAGTCCCACAGAAACCAGCACTGAGACTTTATCTACAAACTGCACATCACAGGAAGGCAGAGAGCCGCGTGAACAACGAGAACGTCGGCACTAACAGCACGACGCAGCCACAGAGGAGAGAAGACAAACCTCCACGGTCCACAGAGTCAGGTCCACTTCCTGTGATCTTGAAATGATCACGCAGCTGTCCCGAGTTCAAGCTTTTACTTTGATATTTACAAACAGGAAATATGAGGTTACGTTAAACTATGTGCACAAGTCACTCAAACATTAAAAAGTCTTATCAATCCAAATGTTGCTGATGATTTTTGAGAAAATATGAAGCTCGAGGTGAAACAGAGTTCTCATCACCGTCTACACCAGGACGCGAGTGTCCTTGATCCAGCACAGCTGATTTAAATGACTAAATGACCTCCTCAACATGTCCTGAGGTTCTCCAGAGGCCTGGTAATGAACTCATCATGTGATTCAGGTGTGCTGACCCAGCCTGAGCTCTACAGAGAATCCCCCGTGTTTGTATCCTGTGGACGCAGTGAGGATGAATGAAAATACCAAATATTTCGTCACACGCTGTACAGTCATCATCGTCATCCAGCCCAAGACTGTGGTCAGTGGATATACACAGACACGGGTAAAATAAGACAATATTTGCATGGAGTTTGGTGTGGAGTTCTACCAGCTGCTCAGCAAACATTTTAAAGGTATAACAACAACATTCATGTGAGACAACGTGACAGGAACGTTAGAATAACTGTTTCAAACCATCGAAGAAGCAAAGAGCAGCAGACACACACTAACACACTAACCCAGCTGCTGCGACTGAAACCTGAACAATAATGAGACGATATAAAAG